GGTGAAGAAAGTCTTCACCCCCTGCATTCAGAATCGTGGTGCTGCCGTCATCAACGCAAGAAAACTCAGCAGTGCTACTTCAGCTGCCAAGGCTGTTGTCGATCAAATGAGAGATTGGTGGTTTGGTACCAAGGATGGTGAGTGGGTCTCCATGTCCGTCTATAGTGATGGAACCCACTATGGTGCTCCAAATGATATCTACTTCAGCTTCCCAGTCACTATCGATGCACAGGGACATTACAAAATCGTTGATGGTCTTTCCATGGACGATTGGAGTAAGGAACAATTCAACATTTCTGGTGAAGAGTTGAAGGAAGAGAGAGCAGCTGCCCTTGAAACCTGCAAATAGTAATTTATCACAGTTGAGTCTTTCTCTCTGTGTTTCTCTACCTTTTTCCGGTCTATCTTTGCTCTGCCATTTTTCCTCTTCTAGTCAGTGGTTTCGTAATTAATAAAATAACCTTTCTATTAAATTGAAATAGATCTTTTTGCTGCTGGTCTTAGTTACTGATAATCTGTATGACTAATCACCTTAGTCATTCTCTAAAACCAGCCATGTCCTCTATTCTAGCATTTTAGGACCAGCCTTATTCCACTTAATTTGGTGCACTTAAACAACTCGCGGGTACTTTGTGGACTTCACGCTTAATTGAGAAAAGGTGGGACGACTTAATTTCCAAATGCTCATCTTGCGGGGTCTGTATTGGCTTTTATTTGCTTACGATGATGAAGTGCAAATATCGTTGTGTGTGTGTGCGTGTGGGGGAGGGGCGGTGGGAGATGGGGTGGGATGAACAGTATGAAATTGGAATATGCGGGCTTAGAACTATGGTAGGGGCTTTTACAAAATATGGTATTTTTAAAACCCTTTGAATATTCATTGGAAAATACTTGAAAAGGTGACTTTTCCACCACGTGGACTTATAAATCTACGCGTTGTCATTGTCATACGACGTATCTACGAGAAGTTTTTATTATTATTATTAATGTGAGTCAAATTAGATTAACGTGGGGTGTGCGATAGACTTACCTCCACGTGGTGCACCCTGGGCAACGTATACTCATACGGCAAACAGTTGACTTCTGACTTCAAACTACTATGACCCGACTCTTTGTCATATTCGACCACTTCCACAGTATTCCCCTTACCTTTTTCTCTACCTTTGTGTCCGTCTATCTCTTTTACATCTGTGAATCGCTCTTCTGTTCCCCACCCCTCGACTTTCTGCTACTTTGATGAACCTTCCCTCTGTGAAGCCCGAAGCCAGCTAAATGGCTAATGATATCTATCAAAACGCCTGCCATTTGAAATAAATAAATTAGATTAACGTTGGCCCCTTTTTCCCTTCCAATTCTTCTACCGATGTCACTTCTTTTCTCCCATTTCACCAACTCCTTCTGCTTTGAGACATTCGCGTGTGCGGTGGGTTGAATTTTTCAGAAAGAAGGGCTTTTAGGCCCTTTGGTAAGACATTTAAAGGGTGTTAAAGAAGAAGGGTCTTAGTTCTTCAAAAATAACAATAGGAATAGAGGGAATGTAAAAATGTACATCTTTCCAAAAATAATTTGTCCATTACTTTTCCTCAGATCTGCACAAGGGGATACTTTTGTATTCTGTTTACGTTTGGCTTTACCATCAACCAAATTAAAAAAAATAACATTGTCAGGTTGTCGTTTCTAAGGCAAGAATAACGGAAATATCGTTACAAATAGATGGTCCAATAGGCTATTTAAACATGGCTAGTAGAGAATGGATAACTTTGCCTATGTCTTTCGAATTGCCCTCACTCTCTCAACAACGAAGGTCAATTTGAAGGAGACAAAAAGTTGACATCGCCTTCGTGCATTCGAGGCCAGGAAAAAAATTAGCTGGAATCCATGAGCTGTCTAAGACTTTGCAATTAAAATAGAAAATTTTCTTTTGTCTAAAGAGGAGATGCACATAGCCTAGCTCTCTCTCTCTACGACATATTAACTTGGTCAAGCAACAAAATTATTCACTTTCGAGGTTAGTAAGTTGGAACCACGTTGCTGAGGCGATATAGATCATTAGCAGAGTACAATTAGGCTTGTTTATATTCGCCTTAGAGCAAGAAAGCCAGAGGGGCACACGATTAGACGCGTCGGAGAAAAGTCGATACGTCGCCGAGCGTGTGTGAGTGTCGCATGTGCGCCAATTGAGTTGGCCAATCACAGCACGCCATCACACTCTAGTCACGTCTACATGGCGGTGTAGTGAAGCCGACCGCTTTTCTTTAAGAAGGGCTTTTAAAGCAACTCCTGTTCCTGGAATAATTCTGCTTTAATAGCCTTCAGTGCAAGTCACGTCATCTGATATAAAAGTTAGCTCAAAAGTTTCCAACCCCGAAATTGAGTACAGACACCAAAGTACTATAAGATTAACTGGTAATAAGTACTGGTGACTCTCTCATTTAAGTCCTGTGTCTTATAGCTAAAGCTTCGATTTACAGAATGCCTATGGTAAAATTGTAGACTCTGAGGTATATTTGTAAATTTACACCTGCTCGAAAGTTAATTGGTTGACACTTTGGAGTGGAGGGGGTGGGGTTGAGCTATATTTAGCGTAAGTCAATTGATAGGATCACCAGTCCACTGGGAACTAATTTTGTGAGCAGGCTAAAGACTGTCAAGTTGGGAAGTTGTCATTGGAATTTTGCAAATCAGAAAAAGCGGAAATTGAGAAAAAAATAGCGGAGTCTCTTAGAGAGCCATCGTAGTCCACCATTTTGATCGAAAAGTTAAACATTTCATCAAATTCAGGGAGGAACACACCTGTGCCCCATTGACCTGAAGACCTTGTGGTTTGAGGTGCCAAAGAGCTAAAAATTCGAATTTCAGCTTTTAGCCAGTGGACTGGATGCCGGTTTTACTCATTTTATTTTCTTTCTAAGATTATCATTGTCACACGTCAGGTTAATTTTTTTCTAGAATTGAAGTCTGCATACTAACTGTATGAGCATATTCCTAATCATCATATCAGAATTCTGTTTATAATATGATGGAAAACCGGTCGATACAAAGGGTAATTGGAACGGTTTATAAATGATGGGAGTTATGGCCTTTTATCGAATTTCTCGAAAAAAATATTTTCACCAATTCAGTTTTTTTTTCTATTTCATTCTTGGCGACGAACACTCCTTTAATTGCACAAATATTTCCATTAGTAAAATACCCAACAGGCATTACTCATTATTCCAAAAACCTTGGACTGCTAGTCCACAGGGGTGTGTGGGGGGTTATTTGAAGTCGCAACACGCCATGCAGCACACTTGCTTTGTTTATTAATGGCATGTTCATAAAGCTATCTTGGTGGCCTCGATAGATTGCGCCACCACTTGGCCCGAAATCGACCACCTCAACTAACTATCGTTTCGTATTTGCCTTCTAAAATCATAAAAAAATATAAATTATTAATCTCTTTAAATCAATTTAAGAAAGCGAGGTAAATCAAAAAGGGGGGGGGGCATTTCCCAGTCTCTAGTTTTGAAGCTTCTTAACAAAAGAAACCGCATTTCTCAATGCATTCTCACTGTACATGGCATCTGGAATTGGACTTCATTTTCCAGCAAAAAAAGGTACAACTAATATTCCCCAAGGAACATTATAGGTCAAGTCTCCCTTGCTCAAAAAGGTGCAGCTTCACTTTGATTATTTATTTATATCAAATGGCAGGCGTTTTGATATTTATCATTAACCCTGGCGCTGACTTCAGGGCTCCACAGAGAGGAGAAGGAACATCAGAGTGACAAAAAATCGAGAGGGGGAACAGAAGAGTGATTCACAGATGTAAAAGAGACAGACAGACAGACACAAAGGCATAAAAAAGGTAAGATGAGTACTGTGGAAGGGGTCGAATATGACAAATAGTCGGGCCATAGTAGTTTGAAGTCAGAAGTCAACTGCCAGTTATGAGACTTTTTGCCGTATAAGTATACGTTGCCTAGGGAGCACCACGTGGAGGTAAGTCTATTGCGCACCC